ACCTGTCTATCTACCAATCTATTTATCTATCCATCTATCAATCTCATCCATAGTGGAACCCTTTATTCTTCTACCGTTGACTGTTTTTAATCTTCATGCCTACTGGAGTTGAACATCGACTAGTCCCACGATCAGGAGAAATGAGCGACCACGAGGTAGGATGAAAACTCAAATGAGGCTTTTTTCTGGTATAACAACATAAAAGTCCCTGAAGCTCGAGATTGAAGCATTAGAGGTGAAGATTTGGAGAAGACGGTTATCGGACTCATTCGAGGGGATAAGCTGGTAATGACGAATGGTTGACGTGTCGTACTGTTATTACAGCGAAATCCTATGCGCCCAATTCTCGTTCCTTGACCCCTACCCTGATAGCTAGCACTGAACAAGAACACCTTCCTGATATTTGGCAGTTTTTGCCGATCAAAGACCACGGCAATGTGCGCACGTTTAAGTAGACTGGCTACTATACTAAAGAGCACTATTACACTTGAGTATAGACACACCTTAGGCGGCTTGAGGTCAAAACATGAGGTAGAGTCGGCGACAGTGTTATCGGCAACAGTGTCGGAAAGCGAATTGAGTGAGGTCGGCACTGAGAGCAGTACGGACGGATTGAGTTGACGGAAACCATAGAGCATTTCGTCGACTTCGTCTTCAGGTAGCAGAGCTGCAAATACAAAAGCATCTGTTTTCATCATGTATGGAACTTGGGTGGGAGACAACGTAGAAGGCTTAGTTGGTATTGCTTTATGGTATGGCAACGATTTTCTCACAGTTCTTCGCTGAAAGAGGCAAGGCATCTGTGGTGCGGCAAACGTGGAAAAAGGCGAAACGACGATTTGTATAAGATCTGCACCTAATGGAGGAGTTCTGACGCGACGAAGCTGCACGGCTAACAATTTCAGGGTATTCTTATTCGCAAGTGGTTCTTCTACCTAAGAAGTAGGCACTATTTCACATGTTGCCGAGGGAACAGAATACTTAATGCTGTCTCACCCTGAATGGTGAGAGGGTCTGAGGCCAAATATTAATTTGAAAGAAGTCCTGCAACACTTTTACACTTCTACCATGATTTTTATTTTTTTTAGCTTTCTTTATTTACTAGCCTGATCAGTTAAACCGTACCACAATGTTCGGGGTAATTCCAACGTTCTCGTTAAAACATAGGCGACTGTTAATTCGCACCACGCGAAGCGACCTTGCATCGAATGAAGATTGTTACCGTCAAAGTTTATCCGTACCCAAGATCGTGTTTCAGACTCGAGTAAGTGGTATTCCTTTGAACCTATACAATATACCGGGTAGAGCAGCGCTTATCATCACAGCTCCAGTGCTCTCTTGCGGGCTCACTCGGCGGCGTATGGGCGCCAATATGGGTGAATGGAGTCAACAATGGTGGGGCGGTTACTGTGTTCTGTGACGAACTGCGCTGAGGCAAATCGCTATTCACACAATGATACTATTTTGAGGTAACTGTTACTGAACATTCCTTGGCAATCATTCCCGGTATTAGTTCACGGTAGATAATGCATGGAGAAAATATCTCAAGATTGAGGACGTTGAAACGCAAATCGAAGGTGCTGAGTTCTATAAATGCCTTTCCATTGAATTATTTGAATGGTAAGTTCATGGAAATGGTCACTCGTCATGAAGTCACGACTGGAACAAATTGAGTAGTGGCTTTAGTTTCTCGGGTTTCCCTTGATATTTGCTGATCGTGGCGCTTTTATCTACTCACTGGGTGTAATCTCCGAGAGTTCTGCCGTAGTTAGTCGTATCTTTTATCCCACGAATTTTCTAGAAGAAAGAAGAGAAAAATGACAAAAGTGTTGCAGGAACTATAGGACTGTAGTCTAACATCATCTACACATCCCTTCATTGATCAAGGAAAAATTGAAACACCGTCCTTGCACTCGTGTGAGAAAATTAATGGAGCTCCTGCTTAGAGAGTGTCTTCTGCCGAGCTCAGGCCTTACACAGACTCACCTGCTATATCCGGGAAAAGTTCTCTGATGTAGAGGTAGGGTTTGCTGTGCGAGGCTACAGTGAGCATTTGAAGGCAAGGTGTTTCCGGATGCTTGATGGACGCGTGAACTCGAACTTTCCACTGGAATACGGTGCTAAGTGTTCCAAAAAATCAACAGCAATGCTCAAAGAAGTACTTCTTCGACGCTGGTGTATTTGCACATCCCACACTGGTAAGGTCGCCCGCTGCTGTGCATCGTTTTCACGTGATCTTCAATGCTGTGCTTGTTGAGAGCAACCTGAAATGATGGTTCCAATAACTTGGCCTGCACGCAAAGAATCTGAAAATGATTCTCAGGGAAATTTCTCCTAGAAAAGTTGTCCACTGGCTCTTCAAATCAACCGGCTAAGGAGCTACAGTTCTATTCCTCTCAACAAGACGTGCCAGTCAGCCTTTCCAGGCTTCTTGCACAACATCTGCTTGCAGAATCCTATGCTAGCGCTTCGATGGAAGCTCACCATCAGTCTGCAGGCGCTGCATTGCACTGGTGTGTTCAGATTGCTCTCATCGATTACCGTATACCACTCGGAGGCGGGATCACGTTGTTCCGCCTGTGCTTGTTCTCGGCCATCCTTTTTCATGGTCGGAAAGATATTTGCGTACTGATGCGCCTAAAGTATGTGTAACTGAAACATCTTCGCCTATTAAATGCGCCATCTCACTCTCACCCAATCGATCGAAGGGTAGCAGTGGGCGAGGTAGCGTTGAGCTTCTGGTACGGTAACCGAATTACGATTGTCTCGAGGAATTTCACCTTGCAGTTCTGGATGTGAAGTTCGGATGTGGGAACGTACCTAAAAATCAGAAATACTGATATGACAATTTTTTGAACGCTTTTGTCGCAATAGAATAAATATTTGTTTATTTGATACAAAATTTTATGTGTTTTTGCCTTGGACTATTACTCCATACTTGACGGGGCATTGCACTTTTTCCTTTTTCTTCATTGACAGCAAAATTCATCCCTGCGCTTTCGCATTGAGCGCGACGCACTCAGATGATCGTAAGTGTGACTTCAGGGGAGTTACTGTTGATGTGTAACCCAAGCAAGTTCTGGCACAGACTTGTCATTCGCACTTGTCGATGGAAGGTGCCCAACAATTTTCAAAACTCTCGCGCGATGATAGCGGTTATAGTTTCTGTGTGATCTATTACAGCAAGTTCTACATGAGCGAATGAACCACAGATCAGAAATTAGAAGTTGGAGTTAGAAAAAAAAGGTTAACAACTCTTGAACAAGCTTGATAAGACCCTCCCCTCCTTCTCGACCATCCGTCGACCCCAAGGTCAAATTTTGATATCTCAATGACGCAGAGGTGGGAGTGGAAGTTCTGGCCGAATGCACACCTTTTGACGTGAAAGATGTCAACGACGACCCAGCACAGCCAGAGCTGGCGCCCCATAGGAGCACCGCAACCTCTACAAGGTTGCACACCGTATTGTTCTCGAGCTAAGAGTCGATTTAGGCCGCATACCAGCTTTGTCCCACGATTCAACACCAATGGGAACAAGCTCTTCATCTCGATTCCATCTTTCTTGTACACAAAGGTATTGTATAACGATAGTTGCTTTAAAAACCCGTAGGTAGCCCATTTTTTGAAAATCGGGTTAAATCGTACATAGGTTCATCCCAAAATAGAACTATTTGCTCGAAGAGCCCTTTAGAAGACAGAATCGCCAACTCGTAAGTTCCAGCTTAAAACCCGCAGCTAACATCGTTGAACCCGAATAGTTCGCTGAATTTTAGAATCACTAGCGGCTCATCCACGCCAGTAAAGTCTTTCACCATACATTGCCGGAACAGCGCGGCGCTCTCCCCTTGATGGCACCATTTACTAGCACCACACGCTAGCCTCCAACGGAAAGGGGCACTAAAGAACGTCCGCCTGCGCGCGTCTGAAGGTCGGCACGAACAAGGCGAAAGTTCTCGACAGGTGTCGCAGGAGAAAATCCTACTTTGAGGCAACTTGAGATTTGGTGAATAGAAGAGCCATCTTGTCACGGCGAGTGCGTGAAAGCCGGGAGAGTACTGTGGGCGCATAAATAGTGAGTAAGCCATTCTGGCAACCACTCAATAAAAATGTGAAGAATTTCCTCTCCTTGCAACCTCGGCATGTTGTTTTGAGCGTATTCAGATGTTTTTTTTTGCCGTAGGAGGTTGTATGATGGAACGTTTATTTGAATGACCTAACGCTTCGACTGGATCGTCGTTTCCAGAGGCCGACGGCTCCACCGTTCGAGCGGATTAGTCTGCTTCCACACTAGAGCGCTAGCTCACTGTGAATAATTCATTAATTGTAATTCATTAACCATTCCCCAAACTAAGCTTTCGTGTGCCAGCGAACTAATCCGCTCAAACAGTAGAACCGTCGCCCTCTGAAGACGACGATTTATTCATAATGTTAGGTTAATTGAAATGCGTTTTTCAAACTCCTCCTATGGAACAGAAAACATCGGAATACACTATGGAGAATGTCGCTCAAGAGTTCTACCTTAAATTTCAAATCAATATTACCAATCCTTAAATTCACCCTGGTGAAATCCGCATGATCGAATTCACAGTCGCTTTTCGGACACTTCCACAATGGCACTGGTGTGTGGATCTTTAGAGCGTGAGCTGTCAGATTGGCGATTCTGAAACGATCGGTTACAAAATGGTAAGGGCTAACCCTACCAAAATGAAGCTACCGAAATTACTCACTTTTTGCAACTGACTGTGATACCACACAGACGACACTTGATCTGTCCAGGACCAGGGATCTCCGGAGCAGGCGACGTGGCTTTCGGTGGGGGCTGCAAGAAGGAGTACTGCATTTGTAAGTTGACATAACAGAGGATCGACCACCTACCCCATTAATTACACGCACGTCCTTAGCAGGTTCTCCTTTACCAAACAGCGTGGAAAGTACGGTATTGAAGTGGTCCATCGACGCCGGCGGTGGTGTGGCTGATTCGATGGAAGCGCAGCGAGACGAGGCTGTCTGGCCGTCATCCGGATTTAATAAGTTACTGGTGGCAGTCTCAGAGCTGAAACTGCACATATGAATCTGTGACACACAACTATTCAGGACCCGGTAACTAACCGACTCACGCGAATTGTGGCGATTTCTATTCATAACGAACTAAATTACGCAACTGGTTTGAAGCGGCAGGATTTGATCGGGAATAGACTCGTACTTTACTATGAATTTAGTCTTTGAAGTAACCCTCCCTATACCCGACTTTCGGCAGATTAGGCAAAATCACCCAGTTCTCACTTCCGATTACTTACAGAGCGAAACGTGGAAACTAGAACAGCGAAGTCTATCACTGATGTAGGATTCAATTCAACGTCTTCGATTTGAAAGTGACGAAAAACGACGAATAAGGTATGCGATGGGTGTAGTTCTCCCAGCGGGACCGCGCTTACAGCGACATTTGCGAAGTACCAGGTTCCATTCTTCCTTAGCGGCACCAAATCAATATATGTGTGAACAATGCAGAGTAATAAGATCACCATCTGATCAGTTCCATTTCAATATGAAACCTCACGAACCTCGAAGGACTAGAACAGCTTCCAACGATACAGCCAGGAAAGGAGGTAAAAGCAAGGAATCCCTCATCCGCGCACGAACGCAACTGTGATTCACCAAACGCGGTAATTCGAAACGTGAACAAAGCGTTGGGCTCAGATCAAACGTGCATTGCGAAGGTTTGAAAAGTTTTGCGACAACCCCTGGCCTTTAGGTCCCCCAATGGGACCCTCACCATCCCCGACCACCACCCTTACCACCATGCCTTCTAATAGCAATTAAGGAAGTGAACATTGCTGAAAAAATATTCCTAATTTTAGCCTATTCGCCGCGCTTCTTTCCATAAAGTTTTCGCTAACGAGGGAGGTCGTTCAGGGTGTGCCAAGCTTTTTCGAAATGGTTTCTTGCATGATATTGGGTGGGAACCACAGAACAATGATAATTTTTCCTGAACGGCCCTCTGAATACCAGAAAAGGGGTCCCTAGTTCGATTCCTCGTGGTGACAAATTTTTGCATTTCGAGTTGACGTTTCCAAAATTCGCGCAAAATGGAGTTAGCATGAATAATTAGTACCATATTCATGATTAGGACCGTCAGTAACCCTTACAAATAGACTTTAATTGA